TAATTATAATATTTGTTATAATAATTATAATAATAATTTGTTATAATAATTATAATAACAATTATAAAGTATGTGTATATATTATATATACTTTATATTATACACTATATACTATATACTTCATACTATATACTAAATAGTATAAAGTATATGTATATATTATATATTTCATACAACATACTAATATACTTGATACTACATACTACAAACTATACACTATATACTTTATATTATACACTATATACTATATACTTCATACTACATACTACATATTATAAAGTATAAATTACATATTATATAATAGATACTACATACTACAAGTTATATACTATATATACTTTATATTATACACTATACACTATATACTATATACTATACTAGATATTACATACTACATATATACTTCGAATTGTTCGACACGTTCCTGTTCGTAGTTTTTAACTTTTATTTTTATTTTAATGTCATACAAGTTATTTTATTTAATATACAATATACATTCATATTTATATATATTGTAATATATATATATATATATACTATATATACAAGACATTGTTGTAGTACCAAATATTCAAATGTCTAATCCAACACAATGGAAGCCAATTCAAGAGAGGCTCCTGAGTTGCCCTGCACGAAAATGAGTTGTTTGGTAGCAAAACTTTGAAAGACCATAACTTTGCGAGAAATGTCCGTTTTTCTAAGGTTAATTTGATTTTGAAGCCAAATTTTAGGTTTTTCACATTTTTAAACCTCTATATCTCCCAAACGGAAAATCTTTGTATGAATTTTTTTTTATCACAACAATGCTCTCAACTCTAATTTCATGAACCAATGCACAAAACTAGAAAAGGCATTTTTGTACTTAATTACGTCTATATGTATTATACTTGTTGTCATTTTTTCAACAAAATATCCTTGGTGGAGTGGTTATCTTGATAGTCTTATTATTCATTTTGGTGGGAGGTCATGGGTTCAAGCCCTCTAGAATCTCATTTTGTTGTGTTTTTTATTTTCTCCTTATACACACACATGTGATGATACATATGTTTTTATTTTGTTCATTGTACACGTGATGATATATGTATGTAATTTTATTTTTGTATATAATATATGTATGTTTACAAATATTTCTGTATATATATATAACAATATTATCAATTAATTTTTAGATATTTATTTTCTTATTAATAGGTTTTTTAAAAAATAATTAAATTATAGCAAGGTATTTCGAAAAATACGTTTTAAAATTGATACGGTTAGAAAGGCGTCTGGCCGGCCGGTTCGGACAGCATAAAAGCCTTCCGGTTTCGCCGGCCGGATAAATTTTTTTTTTTATAAATTATTATGTTATATATTCGAAATAATTATGTTATAAATTGGCCGTTAGATAAATTGGACGTTCGAAATAATTATCTTTTTTAATACATTATATAATTATAAATAATTATGATAATAATTATAAATTAGAAATAATTATAATAATTATAATAACAATTATAAATTATAATAATAAAAAGTTGAATAAATGGTAATCAATTATAAATTATTAAAATATTAATAATAATAATTATAATAAATTACAATTATTATAATTGTAATTAATTATAATAATAAAAATAATTATAATTTCTTATAATTTTAATAATAATATTTGTTATAATAATTATAATAATAAATTGTTATAATAATTTTTTTTTTTTCCAAAACGATAGATATATTATAAATCAAAATGCACAAATGTGCGAATACACAGCAGTCAACGACTGAATACACAGCAGCCAACAGCTGAAAAAAGTGGGAGGACAGGTCAGAAGACCGCCTAGAATCCCGACTAGCAACACTAGAATAAAACTCGCAACTACTACTAACCAATTAAAATAACTAACAACAACTAACAACAACTAAAAAGACCCCAACAGAGTAATTTTCAAGTGTCGGATCCCAGTGGGATAATAAGGTGACACTCGGGTTCACAGAGGCCAAACAGCCCAGACCAAAAACACGAGACAACAAAGAGAACAACACAACCTACCAGAAACATAAAAAACACCTAAACAAGCTACAACTAATTAACATCCCTCCCTCAACAGAGATCTCCAATATTGCCATCGAACAAGCCTACTACAGAATTAATTCAAAGCACAGGAGCCCCGCTCACCACTGCCAAAGGCCTAGCGAACACGGAGACCCAAGCCCCAAAACACTCCCAATAGCAGACCCTTACTCCAATCACAGAAACCACACTCATCCCCAACCCAACAAACACCACAAGCCGAGTGCAGAGCCAACCCGAAATCACCGAAACCTCAGCGCATCCGGAAGCTGGACAGACACTCAATAATCGAGACATTGTCGGAAAATGTGGAAGAGTCAGTTCCAAGCCCAGCCGCCCCACCCAGACCGATAGAAACAGCCACGACCCGCCAGAATAGATAAGGTACCCGTCGACCACGACCAAAAACAAACCGAGACAAATCGGCAAAAGTAAAAGGCAGCCATCACACAAGCCAGTGAAAAACTCACCTCCCACAGTCGCCAAAACGCCGGCGGAACAGACCCGTGTTGATCGACGGCGAGATAGGTCCGAAAGCCAATCGAGCGTACCTTAAATCCGGAGGGGAGTACCGAGCCAATTAGTCCGACCACAGCGACCAAGACCTTACCCACTCACCTGCCACCGTCCTCCGGCCAGCACAAGACTGTCGAACCTCCTAATTGGCGTACGCAGAAAGGGGATCTGCTAACCCTAGGAAGATCCGATTTCGATGGGAACGGGAGGGACAAGGCCGAATCATGGGTGAATGGTGGAGCACATTCTCCGACAATCCCGGACTTCCACCGGGGGAGAACCGGAAGCGCGAGCAGAAGACCAAGTGCGGCGATCGTTTTCGTCGCGAGAGAGAGAAAAAAATGTGTATAACAATTATAAATTTTAATAATAATAATTATTAAAATAAAAATGAATTATAATATATTTTAATAGTTATTACAATAGTTATTACGTATGAAAAAATTTAATAATTATAATTCTGATAATATCTAACGTCCAATTAATAGCATAATGAAGTCTAACATGTAACATAATTATTTCTAACTCCTAACACGATAATATCTAACGTTCAATTTATAACATAATTATTTCGAATATATAACATAATAATTTATAAAAAAAAAAAAAAA